GCTCCCCAGCGGCGCGGCCCTCCCGCCCCCAGAGTCCCCTCACAGCCCCCCTCAGGAGGGGCCCGGCGCGGGGAGAGCCCGCCTCGGAGGCGATGCGGAGGGAGGGAGCGGCACCCCCGAAGCCCGCGGGCCGGCCGGCACTCACCGCCCGCCTTCATCGCGGCGTGTCCCCGGAGAGCGAGCGGATGGCACCGGCCGCCGCGCCCAGACCGGCACCGACTGAGGGGCCGCCGGGACGCGGGGCCGAACCGGCCGGCGGGGGGGCGGGGGTTCCAGCAGGAGGACACGCCCCCTCGCCCTCAGCCACGCCCCCTCGCCGCTCACGGAGGGTCAGGGAAGGCGCAGGCGGTGAGCTCCGCCCGGGCCACGCCCCCCGAGGCACCTCCTCCCGCTCGCCATTGGCCCAGCTCTCCTGAGCGACGCCTACCGGCCGCGCGCACTTTTTTTTTAAACACAGCAGCCTCGGCGATTGGTCGGAAGGGCGGAGGGGAGGCGGGGCGCTCCCCCCCTCGCCGGCCGTGATTGGGCGGTGAGGATGCGAATTCGAATCGGGGCAGTTGGCGGGTCGAGCGCCTGGCCGGCACGGCGGCTGCGGCGCATGCGTACGGAGCGACACCCCCCCCCGGTGTGGGGGCGTTGCCATGGCAACCGCCGGCCGTTCCCCTCAGGGCCGCCGCCATGTTGCCGTGTCAGGGCCCAGCGCGGCGGTGGGAGCCGGTGGCCAGGGCTTCGCGGCGGTCTAGGCTCCACCGTGGGTTCTCATTCCCACCGTCGCACCAGGTGCCAGCCTTCCAACGATATAGGCAGAGGGACTGAGAGCACCATCAGCAGGTTTGCAGATGACACCAAGCTGTGTGGTGCTGTCGATACGCCAGAGGGACGGGATGACATCCAGAAGGACCTGGGCAGGCTGGAGAGGTGGGCCCAGGTGAACCTCATGAGGTTCAACAAGAGCAAGTGCAGGGTTCTGCACCTGGGCTGGAACAATCCTCACCATCAGTACAGATGAGGAGATGAGGTATTGGAAAGCAGCCCTGAGGAAAGGGACTTGGGGGTGCTGGTGGAGGAGAAGCTGGACATGAGCAGGCAGTGGGCACTTGCAGCCCAGAAGGCCAATCCCATCCTGGGCTGCATCAAGAGATGTGTTGCCAGCAGGTCCAGAGAGGGGATTCTGCCACTTTATTCTGGTGAGACCTCACCTGGAGTATTGTGTACAGTCTGGAGCCCTCAATATAGGAAGGACAGGACATGGACCTGATGGAGTGCGTCTAGAGGAGGGCCTACGAAAACAATCATAGCACCTCTGCTCCGAGGACAGGCTGAGGGAGCTGGGGTTGTTCACCCTGGGGAAGAGGAGGCTCCAGGGAGACCTAATAGCAGCCTTCCAGTACCTGAAGGGAGCCTACAGGAAGGCTGGGGAGAGGGTTTACAAAGGCCTGCAGTGACAGGACAAGGGGCAATGGCTTTAAGCTGGAGAAGAGCAGATTTAGATTGGATATTATGAATAAGTTCTTTACTATGAGTCCAGTTGGCAACTGGAACAGGTTGCCCAGGGAGGTGGTTGAGGCCCCATCCCTGGAGATATTCAAGGAGAGGCTCGACGAGGCCCTGGGCAACCTGGTCTAGTTGGGGGTGTCCCTGCTGACTGCGGGGGGGTCGGACCAGATGACCTTTGGAGGTCCCTTCCGGCCCGGACCATTCTGTGATTCCCCACCACCATGGTGGTGCTCAGTCTGGTACCCAGGCTCGCCCAGGCTATGATTCCCCGCCACCATGGCGGTGCTCAGTCTGGTACCCAGGCTCGCCCAGCCAGGGGACAGGCAACTGCTGAGGGGATTTTTCTGTCTTGTCTCCACCTAATTTCTTTCCACTCTGAGTGTCTGGGCCCTCGGGCTGTCAGTGCTAGGGCAAGAACGGGATGCCTGCTGGAGGAAGGAGCAGGGCTGCCCAGACAGGGGCTATTTTGGATGTACTGAGCTGCAGCATCGCCCTGTACCTCCACAGAGCCCAGCTCCTGCCCCTCCGTGGCCTTGCTGAGGGTGAGGGGGGATTAGGAAGGTAATTAGGAGTCAAAGGAGACAAAGCGACGAAGGGGAAATCTGTTATTGCTTTAGCTCACTTGAAGCTGTTTTTGACCCTTTTAGAAAAGAGCAGCAAGAAGAGGAGCTGTTGTTTTGCAGGACATAAAATGACCATGTTGTCGTGATTTGTGCATTGCTGGAAACTTTCCCAACGTTGTGTACCTTGAGCAAACTTTGTCAGTCCCAGCGCAGTTGAAGTTTCTTCCTGGTAGTGTGGGTATGAGTTTTATTTAAGGACAACCCTGGATTTCACAAGCACTTGTCATCATTTGAACATGAACTTCTGGATGCTTCTCTGCATACACACCCTTGCAAAGGGTTGGAGTAGCTTTGGAATCCCACCAGCAATCTCACTTCATGGCTGGGGAGGCTGAGCTCAGGCAGCAAAAGGGCTTCTCTGAGCTCCCAGCACGCCGCTGGCCCTGCTGGGACTGGCACAGTCCTGTGCAGTGGCCACGGGGGATGAGCTGCTGTGAGCAGGCTTTTTCCCATGCAGATCCACCTCCGCCTCCATTTGTAAAACTGTGTAATATTCCTGGGGAGCACAGCAGCTGCTGACGTGGAAAAGCGGTGCCAGGAGCACAGGGAATATTTAGCTTCTTTTAATTGAGAAGTGTTTTGAGTTAAAAAG